TTTTTTCATTTTGTGACCCTCGTTACACTTTATTCATAATAATTAGTCAATTATTACCCTTGTAATAATTGTTGTAAATTTGTCTTTTCAATAGAAATTAGACAAAAATGGTATATTGAAATGCTATTTTATTAAAAAAACGTTTGTCAAAGTTAAAAATAATGATATATAGTAAATAATATCAAAATATGTTCGATAAGCATGTAACATATTTAATAAAAGTTAAAAGATTTTAGATACCTAATAATAAATTAATCACAGCACATTGTTTAACTTAGATGAATGATAACATTCTATTTATACATCACCCTAAAAAATAAAATGAAATAACTAATCCTCTAGTAATTTGTTGAGATCAGAGAAAACTTGTGGTTAGGCCCTATAAAAATGGTATAACTAGATTGGAAGCAACTAATTGTAATATTTACGTATTTAACTAATCCAAATCTTTATTATTGGAGTGAAGTACTATTTGAGGTGGTGACGAATTTTCTAGTAAAGTATGACTTTAGTAATTTAAATGTATGTGAAGAATTGGCAAATTTATTTTTTGTTGTTGCATGGGGAGTATTTAAGATTCTTGACCTACTAAAGTTGATACACAAAATTAATGAAAGAAAATAAAAGTATTAAATAATTACAATAATTTCTTTAAAAAATAATATGAAATTATCACGTGAACTTATATTAAAGTTTATAAAATAATGGTTGAAATACTATTCGTAAGCCTATTCCTCAAGTAGCAATAGGAAGTATAATAATATAAATAATAATATTTATCAATAACTAATACAAATTAATAAGAATACAGTTGGGGCTTGGTGTGGCACGGTGATTGGCTGAAGTCCCTAATGGGTGTCAATCATCGTCCGGCGTGGCTAGCATCCGGATGGGTGACCACCTGGGTGCATAGTGACGAATCCTAGCTCCACACATACACGTGTTACTCGAATCCAACCGTGACCAATACAAAAGATGCTATTAGCCATATAGTGCACGGTTTATTTACAATCAAATTGACACACAAAATAATATGTAATATACAATTAATACAAAATAAGAAGACTGCTGTTGGGGCTTGGTGTGGCATGGTGATTGGCTGAAGTCCCTAATGGGTGTCAATCATCGGCTGGCGTAGCTAGCATCCGGATGGGTGACCACCTGGGTGTTTAGTGACGAAACCTAGCCCGATATATACACGTGATACTCAAACACAACCGTGACCCCTACAAAAATTCTAATTGTCATGGTTTCCGATGCTTTAGACAAAAAAAATTCAAATTGTTTATATTAATTATAGATTTCACAGAACCGTTAATAATTATGATTATTTTAGTGGTGTTAGTTATTGGCTGTTAAAAGGGGGAAAGTTTATCATCCAGATAATGCTCAAAGAATTTAAAAATAAAATTATTTCAATACTTTATTCAGTTGCTTCAAATCTTAATACATCTTCATAGAATTTTTACAAAACATACCATACGTAGCTTAAATAATTAATAAAAATATGATGCTTAAAGAAAGACGTTTCACCTGAATGTATAGTCTCTAATTGTTCAAATGCGTCTCACAGGTATGAAACATATCAAATTTTAGTTTAGCAGTTATCATTCATCTTCGTTGATTCCAAATAATAATTATCACTCTAATATTAAAACTTTCATTGCTAAATGAGATCAGCTGAAATTAATGAGCACATGTAACATAGGGCCAACACATGCTTATAAAATATTAATGCTAACTAGTTACTTCTTAAATGTACATCCAATCATACTTTCAAGTTGTTTGAAGTTGTAATAATAAAACAAAAAAAGCTCAACTTAATATTCAAATGCATTGACTGAAAATCATACTCAAAACAATTAGTTCAATAAACAATGATTTTTTTGAAACCACTTACTATATTCCAAAGTTTATATTATGTAAATAGCAAAAAATCAACTTAAATAAGATTGAAATTTAAAAAATATTAAAGGGAGCATGGGCGCTCGCAGGCAAATTAATTTTAAGAAACATAAAATTAAAAAAAGAGTTCAACTTGATAAGCGAACACAAAAATAAAAAACCAAATAGGGATATTTTTATTCTAAGGGTCCCACTTAACCCTCTGTTAGTCGCGCGCCAAACGGGGGTGATTAAACTAGCACCCCCCACACTGTCCAACTCGCGCGACTATGCTGTTAAGACAAAGGGTTAAAATAAGTCATAAAGAGGTTAGTACGCCTAAGGGCTATAGAGAGTTGAAGCTGTGGTGATGATAGTAGGCTAGTGGTAGTATATTATCATCACTGGTCGAGTGCATCGCAATGATCTTTTCCTACTAACTACCAAGGTATTCGATATTGTATAAGCATGACAATAAAAGAAAATATTTAAATATTACCAAGAGAATTTAGAACCTAATTAAGTATCATAATTTATATCCATAGTTGTAAAGCTAGTCAGCTAGCGTTGTACCAGTACTTATAATTAATAATAATTTAAATACAGTCAACACTAATTAGTCATTTGTCTATTACAAAAATTTATAAAAACTGCACTAAAAATTCTCATGTATCAAAACATTTAAAAAAATACTAATTAAGAAGTAATGAGAGTTGACGGTATAAGGAGTTGTTGTAAGGTAATCAGCATTGATTTATTCATTAGTTTTAATTTAAAATATAGTTTAAGGAATTAAAATTATATTGTCTTAAAATTCCCGATATATTTCCTTCTCACTTCTTTCAACATAGCACTTAATCTATTTTTTCCAACACATTTACTAAGAACAAAACGAAAATATAAATATTATTATGCGTGCTAGTTACAGATTGAAACACAATATAATTTTAATTCAACATTTAATTATTTAAGTAAAAAATAGCTTAAACGTAAAAGAGAACTTAGAAATCGTTCACTTTAATTTCTTGTACCCGTAACAACTTTCATTCAATCAACACATTATTTTATTGTACTGAGGTAAACACGATAAAACTCTGATCATATTTCTTCACTTTTTTCCTTAAACTCATTTGCGTGCGGGCGCCCATGCCCCCCTTCCTATTTTTATTTTTAGAATTGAATTCTATATACATTTTTTTATTTTTTTTTTAAATTGATTTCCTAAACTCATTTGCCTGCGGGCACCAATGCATCCCTTCAAATTTTTTTTCCATAATTTAACTCTAGTTTAATTTTTTATTGACATTTTTTAAATTTTAACTACCAGCTGGTTCCTTAAAATATTCATTTCCTCATGATATAATTATTGTAAATAACGCTATGAGTTTAGGAATACTGATATTGTAGACTGTAGTCTTTAATGTTTATTTTAAAGCACTTTTTTTCTTATA